TTGAAGACGCATCCTGGCAATTTATGTCCCCACAATGGTTGTGCAAGACGATATTTTGTTCAGTGCTAGAAGAAACAAGCTCAAAACTTGAAAATAGTGTTCTGTGAGCTCAATCTGCGCAAGTATCACACGTATCCTGTAATTTGATTGCTCGCCTAGTCAAGTCGACTATTGTTCCACATCCTGTCAAAGCCAACAATCAGCAACTATTCTTCTTACCTTTCGCGCGATGTGAAAACAGAGGATCTGGAGCCTATTAGCTTATCTTTTCGGTTCCAAGTCTGTGGGGCCAGCTTGCGACTCACTTGCACTACCCCACAAAATACATGTGGTTGGTCGACAGCAACGTTTCCGGCGCAACTCTGAAACGACACAGGGCAACCGACAACCGTGCCCCTTAGGTTTCGTCCGCAAACTGAGGCAAAGCTGTCGTCAGCCATTGTTCCAAGCAGGCTGGTTTAACAATTGATCTTATCGTTCTGATTGGAGTTTGCCAAGGCTAAAGATTCCCAGTGCCGAGGCCGCCACAGGTTGAAGAGCTATCGACGTTCGGATGGCTACATGAACCATAGCGTCGAGTCTGATCAACAATCCAAAATAGATTTTGCCCAGACGAAACACGCTTGCCACCACCACTCTTGAAACCTGTCAAACGACCAAAAGCCCATCTTGCGTAGTCCTTGGCGCTTGAGCAGAATTCATGATGAGTGCTGATCGGTCGCTCGCGGTAGAGCCTCATACTCTGATTATTATAAGACTTGGCTTCTGACGTGAAAGTCTAAGGACATCATCGGAAAGCTCTTGAGTTGATCTCATCATATTCTCTGTACATTCTTGACCTTTTGTCGCTGGATCGACCATTTACTTTTATCTATTTCTAGAATTAGTCTTTCTTGTCACAATCACCCATTCCGCGACAAGTCGCCCTGGAACTACGATGCAGCTTTCAAATATCCTCATCTCATTCCTGCTCGCAGCAGCAGTTTCTGCGAAGGGCAACAGAAATGGTACAACAAGTATCAAGTCTGAATGCAAGTCAATTGCAAAATTGACCAAGATCACCAATCTCGCTGCAAATGAGACTAAACTCGCTCTCAAGTTCGAGGGTAACCAAACGGCGATTGATGCGTTCATGGCCAAGGCAGCAGAGGCCACCACGGAGTTGACCACACTATCAGCAAATGCGACTTTGACTGAGTCCTGTGCCGTCATTCAAGCCCATGAGGATTCAGTCGATGCTTGTGATTCTATCTCCAAGATGGAAAATTTGATTTCCAAAGCGGCTAATACAACCAGACTTGAATCAAAAACGAATGTATGTACCTTGGATTCCAATTTAATATCAATAATTAACATGTAACGCTAAGGGAAATGCTACCAAGATTGCTGAAATCCAAGCCAAGGCTAGCGCTGCCGCTACTAAACTTGCTGAGTTACAGAGCAACACAACTCTCACCACATTCTGCGCAGCTCAAGCTGATCTTGATACCTGCAGCAGCATCACTAAGCTCCAGAAGCAAATTGCTAAGGCTGCTAGTAGTACAATTGAGGCTCGCGAAAAAGGTGAACACCTTTGAACAAAGTATGATTCAAGCTGACTCTCTTTCAGGCAACTCCACTAAGACCCCTGAAGAGAAGGCGGCAAGGGTACAAGCAAAAGCGGCCAAGGCACAAGAGAAGCTGGATGCGCTCATGGCAAATTCAACTCTCGTATCTCTCTGCTCTGCCGCCGGTGTGGATCTTAGCCAAGGTAAGGGGACGCCTTTGTTCTATTCGAAAGCAAAAGCTTACACTTCTCAGCTGCGACGGATTCGACAAATACCACTGACTCTACAGCTGCGGCCACAACTGCGGCCACAACCACGGCTGCTGCTAGCCGTGCTGGCAGAATTGAAGTTGTCGGTTCTGTTATATCTGCTGGTCTTATGGCCTTATTCACGGGCATGCTCATGATGTAATCAAAGATTTTAATGTCAATTTTTTTTTGGGGAATCAGTGTGTTATAAAAGAAGGAATTCGGATCTCGAGCTTCACGCCTTAACAGGCTACCATATATCGAGATTTGACATTGACGATGTTCCTCTGGAGTTCTTATCACAGCCTCGGGGAATGCCAATCACTGTTGATCAAATGGCTTTGGATGTTCTTTGATATGCGCAGCTCCTGACTAGTGACGAGAACCATCAAGGTGTGGACTACTCTAGACTGCTTAGTTGGCGGAGCCTGTGGCGTCAAGGACAATTTCGCATATGAGGTTCATCATCTCTGTTGTCGAGTTGATAGTGTGCTTAACCTGTGGCCTGGCTTTGGCCATTTATACAACACCTTAGGTTGCTTAGAGCATTCTCTTGATGGTAAACACACGCTGGAGTTCTTAAATTATATGCGTGGATATAAAACATTACCCATTTCACACCGATTCTCACTACATCCTGCGCTGAAACGATACCACATATCACACGCGTTCCATTCACAATACCAGTACCATACATTAAAATCAACAGATAAAGCGACCCCTTGCTAACGTCTCCACCACGAATATACCATGTCCAAACGTTCCTCATCGAAATTGTCTTGATAATTTCAGTATTTCACAGCAAGACTCTAACGATAGGTAATTGGCAATCCACCCGGAAGTTGATTGAGCCCTTCGCAGTCACAAATATTAGCTCTCGTTTTTAGCCAAATCGATGAAAGGACTTACATCCTTCAACTGGCTCCTTCACATGCTGCGACAGTGTGCATTTCATCGCTTGATCTGAGGTCTGCGATACAAGCTCCTTACATTTGTCGACGTGACATCTAGCATTCAGCGCTCTCTGCAGAGAATCTCCTTTCCAACCGAAGAGATAGTCGCCGTGTTGGCCATATCCAGTACTATGAGGATGTGAGACGGTGTTCGATCTGGAATGGAAGGAAAGCTCACCCGTCACCTTGGCTGTAGACGAATGGTTGTTGCTTAGTATCTACAGGCCAAAGATCCTTGTTGTTGAATTGTCTGGTGTCCCACATGATTTCATACATTAATTGAGGAAGACGCACGGGGTGAGATGCCGGACATGGCCCGGTAGATTCGAATGTCCCACTGGCTGGGTATGCAACGTGAGACTTATGATTGGCACTATCCGTATTCTTACCGTCCCAGCATCTTTGTTTTGAAACATCAGCAACAATCTTTGAATAAATGGAAGAGAAGACTCACGTGGGGAAAGTGATAGTTGTGCGTATACCTCCCTGGCAGAATTTCGTCGGCAGCGAGGTCGTGTCACTGCCCGTGCAAGGCGCTCCACCAAATGGGTTCTGCTCTATGGTCGAGAAGCAACGATGACATATTTGACGTTGCATCCCATTTGAGGTGCGCAACATGGGATCACCAGCGATCATCCTGAATCCCTATATCATGTCAGCCCCCCCAGCGTTCCTTCTCCGTAAAAACAGCCCAGCTTACCGGTTTAAAAGCGGTAACAGTCGTCTTCCCATCATACGGCGGAATATAATACACCGTAATCCCACCGTCCGCCTTGAGTCCCAGATTCGCCATCTGAGGAACCCTCTTTAGAGTTCCATTCCTGGCTTTGAAATACAGGTTCGCTGTCCAATAGTTGGAGAAGTCCTCGGCGAAGGTGCAGCTCGTGCATGTCGACACGGTCGGCGGATCGTGATTGCTAGGGTCCATGGAGGCGTTGAAGCTGTTGCCGCCAACGATTTGGTGGAGGTGGGGAGAGGGACTAGCGCCTGGGTTTACGAGGGGATCTAGACGCTCTATAACCAGTTGTGAGCAGGAGAAGCGCATCATTTGCGCCTGCTGGGCGAGGACATCATGGGCCAGGAGGCCGAGGATTAGGGGGATATGTTTGAGATACATCTTAGATGCAAAGTACTGTAAAATCAGAGCAAAAGCCAGCAGCGATGAGACAGGATATCAGATAAGCCTCATAGGCAGAAGATTTCATTCCTTATATCATGAAACATGTTGGCCCGAATTGCTGAGTTGAGGATCATGCCGGGTCATCTGGCAGGATCTGCGCTCTCCACCACAACTGCCGCAAGCCTTACCTCTCGTAAATATAACACTTGCCATGAATAATGGTCGTGATGCGGTTCATATGACATTCATGTTAAACAGTGTCTCTTTCTGGAACTGCCGAGCCCCCCGGGTAAATATGCATCGTTATGGTTCTAATTAAGCCAGCTGCAACATTATTTCATGGAATGTTCTATTAACGGCCCCGCAGATCCCTAAATTGGAATTGTCCTTTAGCACGGCAGTCATCACATTTGCCCTGAATGAGTACCGACATTTGAAGTTCAAGTGTGGCGAGAAAAGGGAAATGTTGGTTCACGACCATTCGGTCGAAAGGGCTTAGGATGGGATTTTTACTGTTCTGAATACAAAATTACAATCATTATAAATTAGTTTCTCGAAATGAATCTAGTATCGTTTCATGGTTATTGAACGACTGAGTGCCGCTTCGAACAACGGACCGTTTCCGAACCCTAAGCTTACCATCGTATGGAACAGAAAGCCTGCAGTAATAATCGTGCTTTAGAAGAGTATCTTGGGGTATATTTGTGTAATACTCAAATATTTCTGATTGAGAGGTCCGCGCTACCGTCATGGCTAGACTTACTCTTGCGCCTATTTTCTCATAGGTCTTCAGCCAATTCGAGGTGCATCGTTTCGGCGTAATTTTGCTAAAATTAACCATAGTTCTTGCGCTAAAGCATAAAACTTTGAATGAAGTTACTGTCTACAGTAAAAGAACCATAAAAATCTTCGTGTTATTCGAGTTTGATGTACGAAGTCAGACTGCCCCTTTCTGGTCTCGCTTAACCTCTCTCCACCCCACCAAAAAGGAACTCTCCAGGAAGGGAAATCTAAAAAATAATAATAAAAATAAAAATAAGAGCATCGATCACTTGCTCGCAATTTAGCAAGAGGTGTTTTAACTTTTCCGCCAGCATCTATAAATCCTGCTCAAGGGGCAAAAATATTATCAGGGCCTAATCCGGGATCGAACCGGAGACTTTAACCTGTTAGTATCCTATACACTGTGTGGATATTTAATTTAAACTCACCCTCTTACACCCAAAGCAAGAATTCTACCACTGAACTATCAGGCCGTCTGTAATTTTTTACTTGTAGGAATAATAAATTATATTATATCGATAATGTTTTGGCATATCAAGCGAGGAAAAACTTTTCTCCGACATCACGTTACCTTTTGCCTAATGACTCACATTACAGCAAGGCTCCTCTCGGAAATAAATATCCAATATCCTAAGTCAGGATATACTTTCGTACAGGTCCAAACAATGAGCTCAAACTCACCAATAGGTGTACAGTATTTGCTCTCGTCACAGAGACCCCACTGCTAATAATTCGGCCCTGTACGAAAGTACACACATCTCTGACATCGATTTACAAAGAATCCACCCCCATATTATCTTGGCGGATGCAGCTAGTTGTGCGGCTGAAGAGGGGAAGAGAAATACCTCTGTATTCCCCTCCGAGTTTTCGTTGTGGTCCGCACGTCAGTGCTGGGTAAATCGATAACAATATCTTTACGGAGATCATTGTCTGCCTTTGGAACAAAGGATCGGAAAATACTCCGGGACCCGAGGCGATACAAGGGTAGGCTGGAAAGATGATTGAGTTCTCTTTCGGTGTTGGCAACCTATTGCTACAGAAGGATAATGTAGCGGAAGAGGTAAGGAACGGCAAGAGAGGAGATCTCTGACAAACGGATAGATTATAGGTGATCTTATCACAGAATAGGTTGTAGAATAGGGCATACGAATTTGATTGTAGAGCTAATAGAATCAACTATCTAGAGTGACGAAAATATGGGTCCTGACGTCAAGAGCGACTAAGCCCAACCTGGCCAATAGGCTTGGCCGCTTTACAATCTCACACTACGAGAAATACGGGTTACAGTTGGGCCAGTCTAGAAAAAAATCTTGGCCCAGGCTAGAGAATTCCTCGGCAAAACGCCAAGAAACGCTCTAGCCTAGCCCAACTCTTTGTGCAACTATTTGTAGACTAGGTGAACTTAAGCGAAAAACCAAATAGACTTGGCAAATGCACAACATAGGCTCTACAAATATACCGTAAGGAATCCTACTTACACTAAGCTCATTTATCCATCTAATTACAAATTCACTTGCAGTAGTCTCCATGGTCGAATCGATTGAGCAACGTAGAAGTACAAAGTTGTAACGTTTCATTTCAAAGTTAAAAAAGTTGTCTTGTACGCGTCGCTATAAAAAACGCGAAGTGCGTCTTTTTGGCGTGGCTTATTCTATGCTTGGCATATGCCGGGGCGAGATTTCTCAAAGCTACGATTTCTAAGCCTGGGCCAAGATTTTTTCTAGACTGGCCCAACTGTAACCCCGAAGATATATACTTCCATGCCTTATGATTTCATTTACTTCTCTATCTGTTGTCTTTCATACACTCTGCTCTCCGAACCAGCTGATCTGGACGCAGAATTGGCCCGAATTAGGTTTTTACCATAGCAGGAGGAGAATGGCATGTCTATTTGCCGAGAGTGACAGCGGCTGTTCCTGGTGCCCGAGTAGGAACCCCAAAATGGTGGATGGCCGCCTGAAGTAGGTTTGATGAGGTGAGGGGGAACCTGGAAGGAAAATCCAGAAGGCTAGGCAGAAATCCCTGTTTGATCTAGTCCCGTGGAATTATGACATCGTCGATTCAAGGTCAGAGAAAGAAAGGTTCCTTCTTCTCTCATACCAAAGCGGAAAAGCTTTGCCTGGAGATATATCATCAAGGTGTTGGCGCAGTTGCGGAAGCCTCTTACTCTCGGGGTCACAGAACTCATCTCCAACACGCTGAACTCTAGGAAATAACAATCTGCAATTCTATCGAACCCCCAAAAAACAGTCGTGTGCTGAACTCGCCAATTTTACCCATCTTTCTTGCTTTCCCATCTCTACTACCCCCCCAAAATCAACAACATGTAACATCTACAGCATCCATTATCAATTCCCTCCATACCCTGCCACCCTTACGTTCTCCTACCTCTCCTCATCCGCTCCTGACCCCGAAATACTCATATCCCGTCTCTCTGGTATTGAATTCGTAAGAATGATAAGGGTAACCACCACTTCCCCTTTCTCCCGAAGCTTCGTACTCGTTCTGTGCATTATCCGTTTGAGCCTCGTAGTTCTCGTAGTTCTGGGATTGGGATTGGGAATACTCATTTCGGTATGAAGACTGAACCTCGGGAACTTCTCCGTAAGCTGGCTCGGCAGGTTCTTCGGCGACGCTCTCGTTGTAGGCTTCTTCATTGTACTGATTGTTGAATCTCTGCTCATTTGGCTCGGACTGTTCGCTTGGCTCTTCTTCACGGTTCTCGCTGTATGCCTCTTCATTGTACTGGTTGTCGGCCCCCTGCTCGTAGTTTGGCTCAGTGGACTCTCCTTCGAGATCCTCTTCGTAGCCCGTGGTGCCGCGCTCTTCGTTCCCTTGTTTGTAGTAAGATCCTTCATCAGCTGGCTCGGCTGGTTCCTCGTCAGCGCCCTGGTCGTAGTCATTTGTCTTGTTCTCTTCGTCCTCGGGGTTTGCTTGGTAGTCAGGCTCGGTATCGCCATTCTCATTGTAAGCTGCAGTCTCGTCCTCCTGGAATAGAGCTGCGTTGTCTTCCTCGGCCGCAATGCCGTCTTCCTCGGTATATTCTTTCACCTGCTCTTCGACACTTCCCTCTTCTCCATCTCTTGGTTTCTCACCATCATATTCTTCCCCGTTGGTGTCATAATCCAGGGTTCGCTGCTCATCATTGGCCGCCCCATCTTCTGAGTCCTCTAAAGATCGCATCTCTTTATCTTTCCGCTTAATACTTTTCGTCTTAACCTCCCCATCAGGTGCGTGGCGCTTGACCCGGATATCGACTTCAGAATACATCACCTGCTTCAAAGTGCCGGATGTTGGAAATGAAAAATTCTGGCCGTCCTCAGTGACTACGTTGTAATTTCCTTTGTACGCAACATCCTGCTTCCCTGAATAGAAGATTGCTTCTAACCTGGTGAACTGTCAGTAAGATATAGCAAGAAAAAACAATAGAGTCATACTCAAAGTTATCGTCAGGGCCTTCCATTGTCACTTCATTCTCGCAGGCAAGAGTCTTCGTGTCTGATTCCGATTGCCCAAAATCCTTCTCTTTTCCCCATGTCAACGTATCCGAAACACTCGCCTCTGCAAGCAATGGGACTTTTGCTGTGACTGTCACCCCAATTGAATTCTCGATTGTTGTCTTGGTATTCCAAGTGTTTGATGTTGTTATTGAGCGCTCGTTCTTAACCATGCAACTGCCAGACACACCGTTCCACACAGCTATCGCCCTATCCAAATATTGCATTTGAATAAAACCAGTATTTGACAATTTGAAATCAGGATATTCGACTTTATCGATGAATTGCTTTGCAACCCGCTTAAGAAAGACAGGTGCTAGGGAATCGATGCCACCTCCAGAGCGACCTTGGAAACCAAGAAGTAAGCCGGAACCAGTGTCCATTTTGTGTTCGCTCTCTTTCTTGTCTTTGGAACCAACGCTGAGCTTTGTTCCCTTGTTGGTCTCGAGCCAAAACTCCGATGTTCGGTCCCATTTACCACTGCCCATGCCCCATAAGGACATTGATTTGACCTTCTCGTCTTTGCCGACGTCTATCATACACTCTTCGAAACTTTGCGATGAATCGGTATTCCCAGTTGACGCGCGTTTGCCGTCCGTGAACTCGAGTTCAAGCCCATTGAGACATCCTCGTCTGCCTGAGCCCCATTTCATCATGTCATGATAGACTCGGATCTTCCTCACAACTATGACGAGACAATGTTAGCTATAGGGCGGCCATAGGAAAATGTTCAACATTGGGATCGATCGGAAAAAATGCACCTGGATACCAATTGTAAAGAAGGATACACTTACAAGCTCCTGGTAGGCCCACCAATTTGAACTCCACTCCACCATTTCCTCCAACCGCTTTGTTTGCCACGAACAATTCAGAGGAGTACGATTCCGACATTTCTCAGGATGTCTGAGCAATTTGAAGGCTTCAAGAATGATAGTGACAGTTAGATATCGCTGGAACGAGGTTTGTTCTATTGATGTGATGAATATTATAGGATGAGATGTAAGCTCGATGGTGATAAAAAAGAAGATGATAGTGATTGAAAATTGTAACAGGACATAAAGTTTTATATATACCTAAGAAAATGAAGGAGTTCTATCTGCGTACGTCGCAATCCCAACCATGATCAATTCAGCTCCTTTGCTGCGTCTCAAAATCTCGAGTTCTCGAAGCACTTCAGCCATGCAAAAACAGCCACAACGCGATCAGCTACGAGATTGACTCCCAAATACTCTCCCATAGATCAACAGTGACATGACGTAGGTACACGCTTTCAAGATGGAAAACTATCGTTGGAGAAAGGTTGTCGCCAAGAGCGTCATGCATCTGCCTTGTAAGCATAAGCTTGCATATCTTCCAATGGCCCGCATTCTTCCTACGAGCAACGTTGCAGCTCAAAGCACCTTCATAGGCTGGATTTCGTGTAATTTCAGACCATCATCGGCTTTACCGCGAAAGAAAAGCCTCAAGCACATGCGGCTTCATGCCCGTTTTGAAATGTTTAAGCTTTCAGCTGGAGACATAAGCTGCCGGTGACGCCTAGCGGATATAGTTTATATGCTGAAATGAAAAGGTCTGCAAGATACTGTTAGGACTATGAAATTGATAGAGGGTATCACGTCGATAGAATACGGGTTGTAGGTGCTTGTATTGTATGATTGTTCACTGTACGTTGATCTCTAGTAACTATGTTGTCGGCCTGCAAGAGATTTTCTAGTTCCTTGGCCTATTACATAAGCCAATTCCTGAAACTTTTGAATGTCGTCTAAATCCACGTGACTGCGGACGCTTAAGATATGATTTGTACATTTGTTCAAACTTCGGCTGTCAGCCACACCCAAGCAAAATGTGACTATTAGTAAAGCTAAATCCCTGTCTCTTATTTTCACGATATAGCTAGAGTAGAGCGCAAGCTTCGGTAACAGGCAAGCTTCGGTAACAGATATCTGCTTGCCATGGATGTACTTCAATGTCATTGC